AGTCAGATTATTTAGCAGTTGTAGGAATGTTATTTAGCAGAGATAGATTTATCTTAAATTATAATTAAATTGGAGAAATTATTATTTTATGAGCTAATACTGAGCATTGCGCTGCTAGATGAGAACTACTTTTTATGGCAATGTAAACATTAGAAACTGAAAGTCAAGCAGACGGACCTCACTTTTGATATTGACATTTTAATATAGAAGTATATTGTGTAGTCTAGAAAGCATCTGCTTTTGTAATACATATTTTGTTTGTACACTGAATGCATTGAAGATGTGTAAAAAGTCTAACTGCATAAACCAGTCAAAAGCAGACAAGGTCGAACATGGCTGATCAGAATCAATCTAGTTTGTCTCTCCATTGAGCTACCCGTCTGTATGTATATGTGAACTGAATTCTTTCGATCAAAATCGATATTAATCGTCTCATATTTGAAAAACATTTCCAGTACATGAAACTTGTCTTATTTTAAGAACTGAATTAACTAAATTTTATACATTAATAAATAACAACTTAAGATATGTTTGTATGCTTCCTCATGCATCCATCGAAAAAGCTTTGCACATCACAGGGTAACGAGTATCTTCTAGTCGGGCACTTCCAACTGCAGCACTTTAACTTCTTGCTCTTTACAACTGTTTGAAAATGAGACTTTACGTGCTTAATTCAATCACAATCAACTAATAAGCTAATGACCTTATAGACGCATAACATAGTCGCATATATATCATAAGTTTTTGTTCTTCATGCCTGAATCGAGTCTTCACTTTCCTTTCGAGTTGACTTCAGTTGCGTAACATGTTTTTGACGCCTTTTACACAGCGAAGCAGTGCGGTTGATGAAAGGCTCAACGTTGGCAAATTGCTATGCAAAACATGGCTAACATGCAAATAGCCAAGCTGCAACAGCAACAGTCAACAACAACAATATTGATAAAGCAATTAAAAATATATCTAAATATTTCCATGTGACAGCGCAAATTATGCGCTGGAATGTTGCGTGCGGAGAGGCCGACAAGTTAAGAGTCGTCGGATTAGGCCTAAAAGCCAAGCAATCTCAGCCATTTAGCGTGCAGTATCTATTTTTGATTTGAGCCACGATCCGATTGAGCGATAGACAAACCGTTGACAGTTTGGCTGCCCACCACCTTCGCAGGCAGCGGCAACTGCATCGGCATCGGCATCGTTTGTCAACTGCCGACATCCAAATCATCGATAATATATAAATATATATATATATATATATATTACTGGAGAATGTAACTTGTGTCTGCGATTGCGGCGTGTCAATCATTTCAATTAACGTGCGATCGAATCAATCGTCGTGTCAATCATCATCAGCAGTGGCAATGGCTCAGGCATTGTTGTTGCAATCGCAATTGCAATCGCAACCGCAGCGTTAATTTGCCTGTCATGCGATCGTCGGGGACGGCGAAGAGGCTGAGCGGAGCTGGGTGGGTTGGGGGCGTAACAGATAGCAATAGCAAATTGAAGCTGCGCTTTGTGTAGGTGCCAACAGGTAGAAGATAATAGTCAAATGCCTTGAAATAAGATGAAAAGAGGATATAGAATTGGAGTTGGAATAAAAAGGCGAATTTAAGTCTATTTCAAATAAAACAAGTTTTGCTGCATTTTATTTAGAAGAAAAGGCTATACATAACAGATTATATTAGTTTTCGAGCTTAAGAAATTCATTTAAAAAATTAATAATTAAAACAATTATTTAAAAAAGAACTAAATTAATTTTATTTAAAAAAATGCCTTAAGGCATTAAATTTTACTTATTTTTAAAGTATATATAAAATAAAAATAAGACAAATATTGCTGATAAATAAATACAAAAATATAATGAATGCTAGATAGATAAGTTATGTAACTCTATCTTCTGAAGAGAGAGGAAGAAGAGGGCAAGCTGCTTGGTCGCTGACAAATTTAGCTATTTTTAAATGTAAAAAGAAGTTGGTTAGGCCAAGAGTAGTTCTTTAGTTATATAATTAAAATTAGTTATATAATATAAAATTTGAATGAAAACCTCTTTTTTGCTGCTCTTGGCTATACTAATTTGGCTTAAAATTCGCCAAGTCATAAGCCTAGGCAGAAATATGATCTGTTTATTGGTTAGTATCTTCCGTTAGCCGATAATAAAGTCTCAGTATGCTTAGATTGATGCACGAAATTCAATGCTATAGATGCCTGTTTAACAAATATTTCGTCAATCGTTTTTCCGACTGAAGTAAAAAGACTTTCAACAACAAAAGAGAACAACAAATTATAATACTTTGATTAACAAATAGTTTCAAAGAGCTGTAGGAGTTAAGATAATTTGATATATTATCAAAATCTCTTCAAAAGATCTGCTGATATGGCTAACGTATCCTATGCCCACAAAAAAGAAATATTAAATACTTGTCACTGTGCCCGTGGGAGTGTAACTCATTTTCCGGGCTCCATAAGAAGAAAAGTGCATTTAATCATTCAATGCGCTCGTCACATATTTATGGACTGTCATAATGAATCGACTTTCACTTGCGACGCGTAAATTTCCATGGCAACGTGTTGTTTTTATGGCTTATTAATGAGCTGGCTGATCATTAGATTGGGCAACAAGATCCGATATCAGCGAAGGCCCCCAACGAGAGAACAAGAAAATTGAGGCAAAGCCTCAAACCGACCCGCACCGCCCCGCCACGCCCCTGCGACACTGTCAAACATATCGCTTACATGGCTCAGTCGCCGCCTGGGCCCGAGTTAACCAGCTGGTTCTGGCCGGTTTCTCAGCCACTCTCTGGCTCTTGCTCTCTCGCTCGCTCGCTCGCTGGCGGCTCCAGGGTGACGGCCGAAGCTGTGTGTGGCCCGTTAGTTTGAGATCTTTATAAGTCAATTTCAGCCAGTTTTGTGTGCCCGATGATCCGGCTAGTCCTCCAAGCTGACCTATTTAGGCCATTCAAATCGGAGTTTGGATATTATGTCAAGTCCCTTGACATTTAATTCACGTTGCATCATTGTCGGCTGCCAAAATGGTAACTCATCTGCTGCCAGTTGAGTGGCTCGGCTCTTTTTGGCATTTGCAACTCATGTTAAGCATAAATAAAACAAATGCGCTTATTTTAAACATATGCCCAAATGGACACCGACTCCACTCCACTTCACTCCACTCGACGCGACGCGACGCGACTCGACTTGGCTTGGACTCTGAATCGGCTGATTTTTTTTGTTTTGTGTTGTTTGCCAGTTGGCAGCGGCTTTTACCAAGTTGGGTCATTGCGTTTAACAACCGATGATGAAGACATCTTCCCGTTTTTGCCGCGTTTTCTTTCGCTGCAGCTCAGTTGCTGTAGCGCTGTCTTTTTTTCTTCTCCGTTCGCAAATGAAAACAATTTATGTGAATGCGTTCGAGTTTTTACCTTTGTGCCGCCTGCTAAGCCGATCAGTTGTTGTCGTTGCTGTCGTTGCTTGGCAGATTCTTGCTTAGATTTTATTGCTTAGCTTTTGACTAGAGTCAAATAAGTTAAGTTGGAAAGTGCGCAGGAATGAATGCATCGGAATACGGAAAGCAGCTGAGAAGCACAGAGAAAGGCTGCTTCCTCATGCAGTTAATATTTTAAAATACTTAAAACTAATTTCGAGCAGTCGATTCGAGTGTCGAGCGCTGTCGTAAGTAATCAACAAAGTTTCTTGGCTTTGAGTTTTGGCGTCGAATCTATAAACCAAATTTATTGACTTTAGACATATCTTAAAACTGGCAAAAAAGGGATTTCAATGCCTTTCAGCGGTGTCTTCAAAAGTTCTTTTTGATCTGAAGTACAGCTGACATAAGTTTTATATAGGAAAACCTATCTGCCATGATCTGCCTAATGTCCTTCATTGCCTCTGCTCTCAGCTTCACAGCATTTCATTTGGAGCTTCAAATATATCAAGCAGATTGATATGCATTCAGAAGCATTTAATATAGCCTCGCCTAGCATAACATTCGACCCTTCTGAGCGACTGGTCTAAGTCGTTGATTGAGTTCATATAATTTCTATTAAAGCCAATTTGGCAAAACCTCCCGAACTCGACCAGCGCCTTTCGGGCGCAACTTTGTAAGTTTTTATTGTGTCACATTTGAGCAGCAAGCAATGAAAAATTTAACACGCTATAAATCACAATTTTCACAAAGAGGGAAAAGCACAGTCGAGCAACAGCAACAACAACAACAAAGCAGATTTGCCAACAGCAATTGTTGCAGCTCACAAGTGAATGGCAGGAGTAGGAGGCATTGGCAACCTGCCAACCCCTTGGCAATGTCCTTGCGACGCCTTGGTATGCAACTTGTGCCGGCTTATCTGCCCAGCAACATGCGTTCCTGGACTGGGTGGTTGCTCTGCCTCTCTCTCGCTCTGACCCGCTCCCTGTCGCTGTCGATGACGAGGCAAAAGTCGTGGCGTCGTCTCCTGGCTGTCTGACAGGTTCAAGGTCTGTTGTTTGTTGTTGTTTGTCGAGCTGCGTGTGAAATTTAAAACCGTGATAACACCTCAGTCACTGACACCCCCCACGCCCCGTCTCGCTAGTCACGCCCCCTTGCTGCAAGGAGAACACGTGCAGGCAGGCAGGCAGACAGGCAGGCACGTTGCCTGTTTCGTTAATGTTTTTGGTTTAATTTCGCGTCCGTCGTCAGCTTTCGGGCAAAAATTGTTGACAAAATTGATTTGTTCAATTTTTCCAACGATTTAACTTTCGGTCCATGACTCGGTTGCCATTAGTTCCGGTACATTTGTTTTAAAGGTTGTTTGCCAGCGAGCAGCTTTGTATCGCTCTGCCCACTTCTCGCTCACTCGCTCTCTTTGGAATTTCTCGCACGTCTCGAGCAAGCAGCGCAGAAACTTTTTGCTGCCCAGCAAAGGAATTTAATCAATTTTCGATATTTTATTGATTCGCGTTAAAAGCAAATTTAATTTTCAATTGCTCTAGCTCTTAAAAGTAACATGTTTTCTTTGCCTTTCTTATCGTTGCAGGTCGAAGTAAGTAGAAGATGCTCGTCTGCCCCGGCTGCTGGCACCCTATGAACCTGTAATGGAAATAATGATACGAGATGAGACTTAGTTCAATTGTGGATAGATTGACGCTTAGCCTAATCTATGTCATTTTGGGGAGCACAGGCTTATAAGTGGGCCAAGTTTCTCTCTCATTCATGTGGTAGATCATTGACTTGAAGTGCTATAATAATTAGAGTTAGATAAAAAGAGCTCAACAGCTATGTAAAGTGTAAGCTAACAATTCAGGGTAACAAATGGAGAAGTAATAAGTTATTAAATATGTCAGAGAGTCAACTAGTTCAATTGCTTCTGATATGCAGATTGTCATATAAAATGTATGTACCCCTCTTCCGACAAGTTTCCGTAAGTATGATATAAGAGAAGCACAGATTAAGGATTCAATTTTTGTTCGTTTAGAACTGGAAAATTTTTGTAGATATTGCATTCATCAGCAGATGATCTACAGAACTGCAAAATTTGAGGAGTTTATTGTTGAGAGCTGTAGATCTTTATTGGCAACTCTGACTGCACTCTTTGGTGAATATTTAACTCAGATTATTCTTTATGGTTTTTTATGTTTATCCTACCAAAGTGTTAAGTTACCAAAATGTGATGCATTTAAAGACACATTTAGGACAAAGAAACCAAGGCAAAGAATATAGTTTTAAACAGGCAGCACAAATATTTCTGAGAGACAACTTAAAAGAAGAGATTAAGCGTAAGAGAACTTATTCCAAGAGTCACTATTAGCTGCCTCGCCAAACACTATTCACACTCTTCAATCAGAGGTGCTCAGGAACTTGGCTCAGTCGTGAAGCTTAATCAGCTGCCAAATGCGTCGATACAAACTTTAGTTGCTCACTCTTATAGACATGGCCAAAAGCATTAAGAACTATAAGTGAAAGAAGTCTAAGAAACAACAGCTTAGCGCAGCTAGTACTCATTCCACTTCATATTGCTGAGCAACATTTAGAAGCTTTAAGAGCTGCGCAGCCACGCAGAGTGGGCTTATGATGAATGAAAGCAGATATTACAAAATACTTTTGGGCAGCAGACGCTCCGAGCCGAAAGAGCTTGCGGTCAGTGGAAGGATGCATTCCTGGCTACCAGAAATGCCCATTAGTAAACCTCATAATTGCTTCATTTTGGGGCAACTATTTTGTACTTTCTTGAATTGAGCTCAACTTTTCGAAGTCCATGCGGCGAAACCCTTTTACGACAAATTTTGTTATTCGATAGGAGCTAAAACTTTGCTGCAGATGGTCGGGGCGGTGGGCAAAAAGGGGCGTGTGATGCTGATTTTGTGCGCTTGTCTGTTACGCAGCTGTTAATTAAAAGGAAGACAACTCAAGTCGAGCAAAGTGAAGGCAGCTCATGGGTTGGGGCTGCGTGGGCGTGGGCGGCGCTGTCTTGGGGGTTGCCAGTGGAAATTAGCCACAGTCAAAAGTCATTGCGTTGATTACTTTTAGAAAATGACGCGCGCAAATTTTCGAAACTTTAATTGTTTTGCCCTCGTAATGGCGGAGAAGGAGGAGGGATGGGAGTGGCACTGGGACTGGGGGTGCTGATTGCTGGCCAGGGGTTGTCTGGTGCGCATTTAAATGTGAATTAATTGCTGGCCATAAGCATTGCATATATGAGCAGCAGGATTTATGTGTGCACGATGAGTTGGCAGCCAGGCAGCGCCGTGGTCCGTAGTCCGTGGTCCGTGGTCCAGTCATGTTGTTGCCATTAACTGCGCCGTGGAATTTTTATGACCTGCCGCCTCTACATTGACTCTGTCTCTCCCACTCTCTCAGGTCCGCGCACTCGCAAGCCCAAGAAGCCAGCCGCATCGAGCACTGCGGGCAGCAGCAGCGGCGACAAGTCCGATCCGGATGGCGCCTCCGGCTGCGCCGGTGTGCCGGAGGACAAGCGGCCACGCACTGCCTTTAGCGGCACGCAGCTGGCACGACTTAAGGTGAGTGCACAGCGTCTGCCTCTGAGCGTGGCAAGTACTTAGCTAACTTCTCTCTCTCTCTCTCTCTCTCTCTCTGTTTCTCTTCTCTGCTCACAGCATGAGTTTAACGAGAATCGCTACTTGACGGAGAAGCGACGCCAGCAGCTGAGTGGGGAGCTGGGCCTGAACGAGGCGCAGATCAAGATCTGGTTCCAGAACAAGCGAGCCAAGCTGAAAAAGTCGAGCGGCACCAAGAATCCGCTGGCGCTGCAGCTGATGGCCCAGGGCCTCTACAACCACTCGACGGTGCCGCTGACGCGCGAGGAGGAGGAGCTGCAGGAGCTGCAAGAGGCGGCGGCAGCGGCGTCCGCAGCAGCAGCAGCAGCGTCCGACCCATCGTAGGGCGCAATATTTATTGTATAATTAACAATAATAATAATATTAATATTTAAATTTATGGCCTAGCGTGTAAGTTGCTTAACAATTAAGTTGTAAAATATTCTAGTCCCCCTCTCGGCGCACGCGACGCCCAATCGGATGCGGATGCGGATGTGGATGCGGATGCCAATGCGAATGTTTAGCTGCGCTGCGTGTTTTTGTATAATAAATTTAAAATAAAACAAGAAAACAAATGAAACAAAAAACAAAACAAAATAAAACAGAAAACGTTCACAAGTAAAATAAATAATTTAATAAACATTTAAATTATACACAAAACTTTGCTGTGATTTGCTTATTTCGAACTTAGCATCTATTTAAAATTCCAACTCGAATTCGAATTCGAATTCAGTTCGATTCGATTCGCCAGGTAGGTGGTCCACAGCGAGATCAGCAACCGATCACGTTGATTAGCTCGTTATCGGCGTGGCAGCTGCCGCCCTAATGGACCGTGGGCGTCGGCATTAATTACTCAATTAATGAGACGGCGATGCACGAGATCGTCGAGATCGGCGAGATATGTTGCCAGATCGGGCAGCGACAATTACTGGCATTACAATCGCATTAAATTCATTATGCAAATTGTGCTCGAAGGCAATCTTTCTGTGAGCATAATCACGCCTAAAACGTTAACGTTTTTCTCTCTAATTTAGCCATTAAATTTGCATACCAAGAAAATAACAAAAAAGCAAAAAAGCCAACTGTGTGCGTGTGTGTGTGCCAACAGCAGAAATTGACACCTTGAAGAGACGGCGAATGCTTTTTAACTTTTGCCTGAAACGCAGCCTCGCGTAGGTGTTAAAAGCGGCTGTCGCTTGGACTGGCGGCTCCAAAAGTGGAAATTGCTGCAAGATTTCAAAATATGAAATACTCGAATTATTATAATGTTGTTGGAAATGCAGTTGCATGCCACAGGCAGAGTGCCTATAACGAAATTTTCCGCTTGGCACACATGAAATTTTCATGTGTTAAATTTGTTCACAAATAACTGCGTTTGCTTGGAGTAAGCTCAAATATGAGATGAAAGTTGGGCAAAGCAAGCGATGCTAAGTGTACACTGTAATTTAAGAGATTTGTAATGAGAGAGAGAGAGCGAGAGAGACAGAGTCATTCGTTCCCTTTTCACTCTATTCCTCACAGCCCATCGACTCGAACATGCTGAGGGGCGCTCATAGTTCGAGCTATTTACTTATTGAATAACATCGACAGCTCTGAAGGCTCGAATTTGTGTATATTACATATATAGAGTGATCCTTGAACAGTGATCATGTGAGAAATTCCTACTTAAACTACATTGAAAATTCTCGATCGCTCAACAAACAATTTGCATTTAGTTGAAATTATGAAAAAATTAGCCATAAATCTAGCTCAGCGTATCTGCATTATAGTGATAAGTGATTATCAATAAACCCTCTTAATTTGTCGCTTTAGATTAGTATTAATCAATAAACACATAAACTAAAGTCTGCAGAATTTAAACAGTTTATTTGTTTAAGCTCGTGGTGGAAGCTTGATCAGTGAGTTGTTGCTAATGATTTCGTTACAATTTATTATTAATTATTTATTTTTATTATTTATTTATATTAATTATTATTAATTTAATTTTTTTTATTATTATTAATTTTTTTTATTTTTTATTTTATTAATTTCATATTTGTTTTAAGCTGCAGAGCCTTTAAGGCAACTTCAAGCTCAGTCAGCTTTCAAGGCTTTAGTGGATTTAATACAATTAAATTATAGAGAAAAGCCAAGTTTTGAACAGCCAGAAAAAAGCAAAGCTGAAGAGTTATAAGTAGGCAGGTAGACTTGCTTATGTGTAAGAGCAAATGAGCGAAATATCGTAGAAGAGAAGTTCGTTAGAGTAGGTAGTTAAGAGATCTTCTACTAAAAAGACTAAGTTTAGACATTTTTATTCGCAATATATGTATTTAAATTAATATATATTATTTTCTAAAATTATTCAACTTGACTTAAGCTTACTCAAACTCTTTTTGGTAGCCTTAAAAATTATTCCAATATATGTAATATATTTTTTTATACAATAAGATGTTTGATCACCTTTTATATCAAGCTCTAAAACTGTAAGCGGACCAAAAAAATATATTCAATAATAATTGTAATATATATAAAAGCATATAATAACATAATAAATAAATAACATAATAAATAAGTAATAATATAATATAAAATAAATAATAGCAGCAGCAATAAACAATTCGAACTTAATTTGAACATGGCAAACTTGAAGACTTGATACAACATCACACATAAGGCATAACAGCTAAAAACAACATATATTTTTAAGAAATAAATTTCTAAATAATTGCAGCAGTATAGCTGCCATATAAAGAGATAAATATTCAAATGATTAAAATAATTATTAAATAATGACTCAAGATTTAGTTATTAAAATGCAATTTGCATATTTACTGATGCTCCGTAACATTTTGTTGTCAAATATCCCCAGTCAGACAACAACAACAAATAATAATAACAACAACAAACAGCAGATGACTGGGCAAACATCTTAATTCTGTGGATGATTTACAGTTGGATATTGGGTTTCATTGTTTGGTGACATTTTTCGGGTTATTTTTTATTTTTTCGGTGGGAAGGCAAATGCGAGACGCTGTTCACGATTATAACAAAGTGCAGTTTATTCGCGCACAACTCTGGCAGGCTGGGCAGGGGGGGGATGGGATTGAGAGCGGGCTGGAGAGTGTGTGCGATCGAGTTGGGCGAGTGCTGTGAGTGCTGTGAGCTGTGTGTGGGTGTTTTGTTGCTTAAGTGAATTTTTATGGCACGCGCTGCGTGCAGATGACTTCATAAAAAGTCAATTTAAGTTTAGTAATATTTTGTTGAATTTATAGTTAAGTATTTTGTTTAAGCATAATTTTTTATTGCTCTCACTCTCGGAGCCGAATCGGAACTGGACCTGGACGAGTCGAGCTGGAGCAGCGTCTCTGTGCTGCAAGTCTAAGAATGAGTCATGGCGCGAGTATATTACGTTATAAATTCAATAAATGTGACCATAAAAAGCCCATTCAAAATACCTTGCGCGCTCATACATTAATCCCGCCAAATGCCGAGGTCCAGATCCCCGAAGTGCCACAACCCAGTTCTGAGTTGCCAGTTCCCAGTTGCCAGTTCCCAATTGCCATTTGCCAGTTGCCAGTCCGAAGCTGAGAGGCATATTACAACGCCTCGACTGCTGCTGCCGTCGCCGCTAACTTCTGGACCCCCAAACCAAATGATTAATGTTCGGCAGTCGGTTGGCAGCAGCCTTGGCCCCAGCCGAAGCCTTCCCGGAATGTGAGCCCAAGTAACCCGAAAAAAGAAAATACGCATAAATCTATGGGGTTGACACTTAGTACCGCTTTCGGCCCGAGACCACAGCCTCAGTTGCCGTCGCCGAGTCAGAGCTGCAGCCATGGACTTCAAATGAATCTGTTGGTGCTTCACTTGCCGCACGCTCCTCGTCTGCCAGATGAGTTGTGGCAAGGCGCGAGGTGTCATAAAATTGGCAACAAATTGTTTTTCACGCCGTTTTAAATACACATTTTCGATACTTGGCCATAATGAGCGCGGCCTCTGCTACGACTCCAGTTCCAACACCAGCTTCAACACCAACTGCCGACTGCTCGTTGGCCGGAGCTCAGACAAAGCCGGCATCAACGACATCATTCGACTTTGACGAACTGCAGCGTCCGTTGCGCCTTGTAACACGCTAATAAATTTGCGGCTAAGGAGATAAGCTTATAAATTTTAACTGTAATTATGCGACACAAGATTTATGAAGCGTTCGCTCTCACTCTCGCTCTCGCTCTCGCTCTTGGCTCGCTCGGATTATTAATGAAACACACAGTTACAGCGAAATGCGCTCAAGTGCCGGCATTACAAACGACAGACTCCTTCCTCACTGTATCCGTTGGCATCTCGGCTCGCTGTTTGCCTGTTGGCCTTTATCTGAGCCTTGTTGTTATTTGTTGCTCTGCTGCCCAGCACCCTTTGGCCAAAGATTTATTCACGTGCGTCTAATTCGTGGGGGCTCTCTTAATGAGATTTTTCTTTTCTCTTTGGGCTGGCGCATGCAAATCTGCAACTCGCATCTGTTCTACCCCATTGATCTACGCATGTGGGCGTGGGTGCGCCCTAATCTATAGCCAGCTCTCCTTCACTCTGTTGCACTGTTATGGGCGAGACCACCCACAGGCTTATGTAGCGCCAATCACAACTCGAGATCTGCGTATTTGACATTGCCTTTGTCTCATTACGCCTGCGCAGACAACAGCAACAACAACAACTTTAACTTGAAAGTGTGAGTGGCAAGGCGTGGGAGCTAAAGCTGCTCCAGCGATAACTTGATAGTCTAAATGAGTCTCATTCCGCCCGATTATTGAGCCATATATGTAAGTACTCTAAAGAAGTCATAAACTATGAACGTGTTCTGGCAGCTTAAGCTATCTGCTCTCTGTGTGTGTGTGTGCGTGTGTGTGTGGAGCCTAGCCTTCAGTGAGAGTTGTTCCTCTGCTGCGTGTACACAGACTCAAGTTCATGAGAGTGCCAATATCCATATATATATAGCAAGAGCTTAAAGTTATTGCTCGCTATCAAGTTGCAACGAAATATTTTAAAGAGTTTACTTTTATTTCAGTTTTTGTATTATCTCTGATAACATAAACATATATACATTTAACTCTATAACAGTAAATAATGTATTTAGTAGACTTAAAATTTTCTTAATGCAAATATCTTTTGACTTTAATAAAATTTTGGAAGTGTTTCTATTTGAGCGTGTTCCATTCAACTGCTGTATCTTTAAATCTCCAGCATATACGAGGGTTGCTCCAAAAGTACACAACAATCCACGCTGTGATTTTTCTTTGATGATTTACTATTACTATTGATTACTTGAAGTCTGAGTTGTGACACTTTTGACTCGTTAGTATTTATTTAAAGCATAT